AAAAAGGCTTTTTATAGATTTAACAGATCTTGACTATAAACCTGCCCATACAGAACATACATTTTATAAATACTGGCTTGCATCTAATGATCATGCCAGCTTAGCTGATAAAAATGATACTACACTTTTAGATGCATATCAACCCGAAGAAATCCATTCTCAATATATAGTTCGAGTAGCAAGAAAAGGCTATACAGTGATTGATTATCCTTCTGAAGTTTATGGAATATCTGATGCCCATGAATGTATTGATGGAAATCAACCCTTTGTTTAGTAATCGATATTGATGCGAGGCAAAAGTCTGATTCTTCTGATTTTAAACTTCCTTTTCTAGATAATGAAAAAATTAATCGTGAGGATTTGATATCTCAAATTTTAGTCACTTGTGTAGATGCATTGAGTCTTATACCAGGATGTATGCCTTTCTTAAATTCTTTTGCATTAGCAAGTTCATCGAATACTAATAAATGCAGCTGGCATATTATTTATCCTCGTGCCCAATTCATAGATTATAGAGAACTCAAGGGTTTTATAGAAAAAGTTATGGAATTAGTTAGAGAACCTTATACCAAATTCATTAATGTTAGCCTTTCCAAATCACATTTTAGTCTTCGACTTCTTGGATTGGCAAAAGAGGGATGCATAAAAAGACCTGCTATCTCTTCCGTAAATAAGGAATTTAAAAATTTAGATGATTACCTGGTTCAGCCTAAAGAAAATTATTCTGTAATCTGGCCACGAGCCTTTTCAGAGGAAAGGCCAGCAGAAGAGGAATACCAACCTATCAACGATGATAATGCCTTGGTTAAGGGTGCTAATTTAGTTATTGCAAATTTTGGGTGGCTCCAGATTGGAAGAATCGAGAAGGGATTTATCAACTTTTAAGCACAATTTCCTCAATTATATGAGATGCTTTTATATAAGAAAAAAGATATAATAGCTATTCAGAAAAAACTTGGTATTAACAATAATATAAATCAAACGGCAATGTCAGAGAGTAAGAAAGTGAAAGAATTTGCTGATTCATATGAATTGCTGTTAGAATTGGTAAGAGATTTAATACCTATACAGATAAAACTTGGTATAGATATCAATCCCATTTTAGAAGCAGAACTTAGAAGGAATAAAGCC